ACGAACCCCCTTGTAACAGGCAATGGATTGGAACATAGCAATGAAGTGCCAGCTTACCAGCAATATACATATTTCTTTTTCTTATTACTTTGAAACACAGAATATAACGCCATTTTCCCAATTAAGATTTTTTTTTAAAAGAATAAAGAATTCTCACACTCTTTGTAAGGAAACCAAAGCCTAATTAAGATGGGAGAGTCTGATTTTGAAATTAATTTCAACTCTCTTCTTATCCTCCCAAACGAGAACACCATTTTTTTTTGAAGGTCTACAATAATAGAAAATATAATGCGCAACATCTCGTAAGGTTTCTTTTTTCTTCTTTCATCTCTACCACTTACTTCACATATTTCCTTAGATAAGTTACAATTATCTGGGCTTCAATGTTTCTTCATTAAAAAAGGTATGACAATGCCTTCCTTGGGCAAGTCACAGGCTTGTAAGAAAATTCAAATCATGTATTACATTAGATTGTTCTTAAAGTTAAAATGACATATCTATGGAAAAATTTTATTAAGATATTTTATATAAGAAAATCAGTCACTTAGAAGAAAACATAAAACTTTAATTACAATAGGACTCATTTTCTGTACCAAGTTGTCAGGAGATATAAATCGGAAGCCAAGCTGGCACTACCATCACAGTTGGGAATGAGGACTATAGAAATAGGCATTGCTCTGTCTCAGGTCTTTAGAGTCACCAGGAATTTGGGAAATTATTTTCTTCTATAGTATCTTAATTTTCAACAATTTTTCTTAACTTTTTTAAACACAGCAAAGCACACATCAAAAAAACATGGCAATAAACTGAGATTTTACATTATCATTGCCTGGTTTGCTGACTTGATTCATATTCATTGTACACTTTGTATACAGCTATGTACTCCTATAGTTCTGAAACAGTATTTTATTTACTACATCTGATTAAAAAAAATCTCAAAGACTTAATACTCTAGGAGACTGTCTGCCTAAAAGGCAGTTTTTGAGCTGAACTAAAATGATCTCTTCAGGTTCTGACATACATTCCGACTTCAAGATTTTACTTAATATCTCATTTCCAAGGCTAAATGGAATTGGATGTTTAGGATCGATTTTGTGGTCAATTGAGTTAGCATTTTTGAAACTTTTATATCTATTTTTTCAAATGACTCTTAGGTAAGTAAAACATTGCAGGAAAAATGGATTGGATTCTTTTTAATATAATTAAAATAGAGCCTCATAAATATGCAGTAATAGTTTTATTGGAAGTTGTGCTGGATATTTTACTTATATTAATTGCTCATTTCTCTAAATTTTGAGAAAGAATTTCCAAAATCTGTAGTAAAGAGCAGCTTTACAAATGCGCAGTATTTTTTCAGCATGCTCGCATAATTTAATTGTAGTGATTGGATCTGATAGCCATTTATCTTAAAAAATTAAAATGTTAAAAGCCATTTGCTTTACTTTAACATTAGGCTCTAATTGTGTTTGCGTGAATGCTCAATATATATAATGTTCAATATATATGTGCAATTTGAAGCCTAATATATTAAACTTGTGTAGTGAGTTCTTTTTCCTATTATTTTTTGCCTTTGAAATTATTATTACAGGTAGAATGCAATTGCTATATAGTTATCTGACCTGTTGTCTTAGAAAGTTGATTACTTTTGAAGTATTGGTCACATTCAACATACAACATATTCCAGATCTTGATATACAAAAAACATAGTGCTTATACTCACAAAAATCATAGCATGAAGCAGTAATCATATAATTTTTCCTGCTTATAAAGATATAAACCATTAGCATAATTTCATTAATGAAATGACAATGTAAGAGTTAATGTTTTTGAGTGCGAGTATGCTGTACTTCTCAATATTCTCAATTGTTACATAACCATTAATGTATTTGTTAATAACGATTCTTCACATGAGCTTCAAGTAACCAGATAACTGATAGCTAAAGTTGAGTAGAAGGCTTATTAACACCCAGTTGATGAGTAGACCATCACTGACAAAATAGTCGTATCCTGTGTACATTATTTTTTAATTTCTGATAGCTTTTTCATTTATAAAAGGCTAAAATGAGTCACTGTAAGATATTGGAAGTGCTTTTTGAGTCATCAAAATAAGAGTACAGGATGTTTTCAGGTTAAGTCAATAATATTGTACTCTAATTCTTTGAAATGTATAGATTATTAATCATACATATGCCACTCATGACTGACAAAATGACTGAATTCTCTAGAACCTCACTTTCTTTATCTCCTCTGGATATCTGAAAGATCACCTAACTTGCACTCATCACTGTCTTTGAATCATCTTCCCTGTTCCAGTGTTTATCTGTGAGCTATAATGAGGCTGGGATCATCTAAAGGTCTAGATCTTCCACTCAGTCATCATCATGAGTGGAAAAGAATTGTTCTTTATTTGCAATCTTTTGCCCACGCTGACCTCCTTAATTATTATTCATGATTGAATAAGTTTGAGTTAGACTCTAATCTTTAAAGATCTTATAAAATGACTGTCTTTGAATAGTGGCATCAATTAATTATGCCAATCATCTCTTTGAATATTCTTTCCCAATTTAGGATACTAATTGTATGGTTTTTATTCCTTACTGCATATTTCCAAAAACAAGTTATCTGTGTTTACCATATAATAATAAATATAAATATAATCAACCTTATTACATAATTTCCATAATTTTCCATAATAAAACATTACATTTTTACAGTGTTTTATAGTTTACACAGCACTTTCACTTAATCATGTCACAAGCCTCTGAGACAGGATAGTAATTAACTCAATTTTAATCATTTAGACATGAAGGTTCAGAGAGTTGGAATGGCATCCAGGGCACAGCAAAATGGTGCTGGACCTGGCTTCTGATCCAGATTTTATAACCACAGACTACGGGTACTTCCTGGTACACCACACTGACACTCAAAAGGCCAGAGCCTAATAACATTCCATAATATATCATTCATACTCCATGTTCTGTGTTAACAATGAGATCGCATCTATACAATAAAAATAAAATGAGACAATTATCCAGATAGTTGAGCTAAATGCTCTGCCCTTAGCACCAAAATCTTCCTCCTAATTTAAATTAGATTCTTAAAGCAAATAAAATATTGCTCGCTTCAGTTAGTATAGGATTTTCTACTCTTATTGCCTAACAGGTACTTGCCAAATGACAATAATTCACTGGCATTAACAAAGTAATATTAGACCATTTTCTTAAGGTCACTTCAGACATACTTCCCTATGCCCCACAAACTCAGACACACACACACACACACACACAGGCAAATGTCTTTTTCAGTAAAACTGTGAGCCAGTAGAATTTAGCATAACAGTGAACAAGTGTCAGGATGTCACACACATTTGCTGTCTTGTTGTTGCTTGAAAATTTACTCCTGGAATTATACTTCACAATGTCTGGCAAATCACAGCCTCAAGTAACTCCCATTTTTCCTAAGGGCTTATCCCACTCCTCTGAAACAATTTCAATTATACAAAAAACGTAAATGCTCTTAGTCCTTTCCCGCTCTTTTGATTATGATGGTGATTACTTGGCTAACATTATTGTATTAGTTTTCCTTGCCAAACTTTCATATACCATAGTATATACACACAATATACATTATTAATAATTTAAAAATAACTGACTATATATTTAAGATCAAATAAACAATAGAGACTAACAGAAAATGAATTTCCTTATCTATTAATTGTCATATACATGCCATTACCCCCAGCCATCCCTGACTAGAAAAGAGTTAAGTGTAAGTTGAAGCTTTCTTTTAATCAACTTTAATTAGATCAACTGTAAATAAACCTTTAAATAGTAATTTAAATACAATTAGGGTAATGAAAACAGTTTGTAAGTCAATAGATGTCAAATTAAAATTGAAAATTTGGAGATTAATATTCACAGCTAGTGCTTAAAAACTTTAAAATATTTAAATTAGAATGTTTTTGCCTCTTGCAATACATTTAACTTTAAGCTTCTTCAGAGTTTATATTTGAGTATAACACTAACAGTCTATTTGCATGTATGTTTCTTTGGGTACGCGGTCCATACAACAGCTATCCCTCATACCTTGCATAACTACACCGTTTACATAAGAATAATTGCTGAAGTCTGCTCATCATCCAGTGTAGGAAATGTAATTGTGCATGAAGTTAAAATAACTTAAAACACTCTCAGAAGGCAGAGTGAAAAGGCAGCTATCACTACCTAAACATTCTTGCTTCCTGCCTGTGTCTTGTAGCTCTCTAACCACAGGCAGTCAGCCTCAGCTGGGCTTCATTTCAAAGGAAAAAGTTGACCAGGTTCATCTAGGTAATTGCTTGTAGAAAGATCTACTTATTGCCTCCACATAGCTACTCTTTTCTTGTCTCCTTCCTGATTTTGGTCTGCAGCTGACCTTAAGATGTTACTTGAACATAAAGACTGATTTGTGAATCCAGAATGATAATTGAGGCTTGATCTGTGAAGGTTCACGTTCTTGATAAAATTTAGTTTTCATATTCTTTATGCTAGTAAAATTATGCAACGATAATTCAGAATAGCGGTTTGGGCGTATTTCCTTGACACGGACAATAATAAGTAAAATGCAAATCATTTAAGAAATTAAATTGTTCAAAATTTGCATTACGTTCTATACTTTGAGTTTCTAATGATGCCCCCATAAGGACAAATGGAAAATATTTAAATTTATTGACTTGCTAAACTATTGTCTGCACTTGAAATTATTAATATTGCTTCCCATAATGAAGTGGATCCTCTCCTTTTCTGCTTGTAGCTCCAAGGATTCGATACCAGGAAATCACTATCACATGCATCTATATTTAGTAGTAGGATAGAGCAAAAATTACCTCCATGTTATTATTTGATATTCTATTCATTTATACTATATTTATAATCATGAGATTTCCTTTTATAAAGTAATTGAAGTAGTGGAGTGTTGGTAAACATTTAATTTAAAACAACAATAATGTTCTGGTTCTCTAGAAAAAAAAGGTAGTGTTTGCTGATTTCCATGGTGGTCTAAATATTACCACCATGGCTGACCTGCCAAAATATCACTAGAAGTGGAGTTGGGAAGAGATGTGCATAATTGGTTCTTGGGAGTTGGTTCTAGCTGGTTCCAGTACACCAAAGAATTTGAGTGACTATATAATAAGTATTTTTTAAAATGTTTTTGGAGAATCTCCTAACTAGCTTTAACATTGATTTTTATCAGTTAGCTGTTCCAGTTTAAAACATAGCCTCTCTCTCAAGTATTATGTCAGATAATCATATATAGCATTAGATTTCAGAGGAAAAAAGAAAACTAACAAATTCACCACCATTACAACCGAGCTTAGCTAGAGTACTTCAGATAAATCCGTCTTAATATGAGACATTCTTCCAGCCATCTCAAGCATTTTTTTAAAAATACCATTGAATCAAGTTCAATACTCCATTGATATAATCTTCCACACATAAAACAGCAATTGAGTATATGCAAGAATTTCAAATCTTTATTTAAATTTGAGCCTTTCTTTTCCCAACCTATTACTAGCAAATATGAAAAAAAAAATTCAAAACCAGAAAATACATATACTTTAAAAGGAGAAAAAGCAGGGTGAATGATGTGATGTTCCTTTTCTAATATACATTCAAACCTCCTTTAGTGATATGTGCAACAATCAGCAGTTTTGACATCATAATCCAAATATACTAAACTATTTTATCTTCTTGCAGACAACAAGGGGATTATTAGAAAACTGTTTTCTCAGCATCTTGCTGATTTAACACCTATATAATTCCCACACCACACTCTGATTTTATTGACTTGGGTAAGTGTACTATGTGTTTTTTACTTGAAAAACTTACATATGTGACTAAAAGTCATGAACAGTATCTTTTACTCCGTTATAAAATTGTTTTTTCACACATATGTATAATAATACAGCAAGAAGCATATCTATCTAGCCATGAAACAATGTCTACAAAACTTTATTCAAATGAAAGGACTGTTTGCAGATAATCGGATTTATTGAATTATTTATTTTGATGAAGCTGAAGGCCACTTTCACATACTTCATTTCTAAAGGTGGGCTGAAATTTTACAGAATCCTACATAGTTTCTCCCCATGTAATCAAAATATTGTTATTCTGGTTCTAGTGTTTGTCTTTCGGAAAGAAGCACTTTTAGAACATAATTTCCTGTCCAGTGTCCACTATCTGTAGATTTCTTAGGAACCCAACAATCAATTCTTTTTTAAAGGAGAAAAGAAAGAAAAAAATCCATTCTTACTTGAATAGATGCACATTAAACTAGTATTAATCTAGGAAAAGATGATAGGTAGAAATATTATTTTAGTCATAAAATTCTTTTTCTAAGAAGCCCATCTCAAACGTAAACACATGTGATCATTTGAAATTCCTCTCTTCACTTGGGCACATCTAAACCAGTATAGAAATAATACACTGCTTGCTTAATTCTTGGGAACATATTTGCATCAGAATTTAAAGATGGGTTTTGAAATTTATAACATTACATTGTTTAAGATATACAAAAAATCAGTCTTTTACTCAATATGTTTACAGCAAAAGAGTTTGGGGGAAAACAAATTCTTGAAAGCCTCTGGGGCATCTACGATGTTGAAAAATAAATCTTGCTTCAAAGAAAATCTCAATTCTCTCTGAAATCTTCTTTCTAAAATATAAATATTTTATTCCAATGTTTTGTACGTTCTAATGGCTCAGACGAATAACTTATTTGTTCTTGTAGCTCTGCTCCTCTCTGAGATGTGAACTGCAACAGGGCTCAATTGCTGTACTATTTTTTTTTCCATTTCCATGCTTCATTTCCTTTGTGTAGCTCAGACTGAAGAAAAATCAGCATGTTCTGATGAGCTTAATACTATGAGGCAGTAAGATGCACCTGAATTTAGTGGAGATTGGAGCTCCAAAATAACGATAACACCATGTGTCAAATAAAAAAAGGAAAGGTATTCTCCTGTACAAATCAGAAGAGACAATAAAAGTCAACGAATAGACAGCAACTTTTTTCATACCTACGCAAGCATCTCAAAACGACTGCAAACTTTAAGAATGATTTACCTTTTTCTTATTTGGAACACTTCATAATTTATTTCCTAAACAACAGTTTATGTTGCCTTAAACCAAATTTTAATGGCTTGCATTGGAGGACTGGGGAGGACTTTCTAAGAATTTATATATTGCTAAATAAAATATATTTGCTAACCAACAGCAATAAAAGTCTGCTGGATTCTATGATCTAGCAAGCTAAAAGCATCACTGTAAATTAAATTTGTCCCAAGTTTTGATATGTGAGAAGTTCCAGAACTTTTCAATGGCACATGGTGTTCTATTCCTTTCACTGGCAGTACCATGAAGGTATGTACAGGGCATCCTTGTTTCACTGACAGCACAGGGCACTACTTACTCATAGAGGTTAGGTGCCTTTGCAGGTATCTGATAGTTGCTATCTATTCACAAACCACTGAGCATTTCTTTTTATCAAAAAGCCTTCAAATGCTCAGAGTCTGTGGTCAGTGCAGTCCCTTGGACAAGTCTAATGAAGATATGCTTCACCAAGACAGAAACCTAAACAAGTAAAAATGGAGACATATTTACAACCATTTTCTCTAGCAAGTGGAGTTCTTGTTTTCCATATGTAGTGGGTTTTTTTTGCTTTTACTTTTCCTTCAGTACATTTCAAATTAAGGCTCCAGGGCTATGAGTACAAACTTTCCTGGCCAGTTCCATACATGTCTGCAAGTCGTTTAAAACGAGGTCCCCAGTCACTTAGGTAGTCATAATTCTGATCAGAGTTTGAGCTGATGGAATCTAAGGAGCTGAGTGATTCAGCTACTGAGCCGTTCCCTTCAAATGCGTATGTCTGCAAGGAATCATAAGGGGGAGCGCAGGGATCAACATCGGCTTCTTTCAGTCTTTCCCAAATAAATTCCCGAAAAATGACATTATCAGGGATGCTTTTAAAAGTCGGTCGACTCAAGAACTGAATTTCTGGAGTCACATCCCTCCGAGTCTTGGTATCTCTGATGACGTTGAGGTTTCTCAGCGCGGCCATGTCGAAAGCTTCTGTGTCTTCCTCTCCCCCACCCTCGTCATCATATCTAACAATATTTTCTCGGATATCTCTCTCTTCATCAAAAATGAGGGGCTCTTTTTTCCGTCTTCTCATAGTGACAATCAGGAGGATCAACACTGAAACAATGAAACAGCAGAGAGAACATTTCAGTGAAGTCAACCGACTGCCCCTCATCATAGTGCAATGAAGCCTAAGCTGTTGACTCATAGATTTTACGACCTTAAAAGGGAAATGAATTAGCCACCTACTTAGAATTCACAGTAGATTGCTAAAATGCCTTTAAAATAGAACATTTTTATACATGAAGACATCTTTTTCCACACCTGTTCAGAATTGATGTCTCCCTTTTTAACATAACCTCCAAAGTATTTGATAGAGCAAACTGAAGGGCCAGTTCAGGATAAACACGATCATTTCAAAACCATGAAACAGGATGGAATTTTTTTTGAACTCCTTATTTGCTGGAAAGGCAAAGTGACAACCATAAATGTTTTGGGTCTAATTTAACAACTGTAATTTTAGAAGGAAATGGATTATAGCATTTGATCAGGTTCTTTGAAGAAATGCCTAGAATGTGTCTATGAAACTCAGCTGTTAAATAAAATCCAGTATGTCAGACTATATATAAAGATTAAAAGCTTCTCTATAATAAACTGAGTTCCACTTTCAGTATCAAATACTGAACTTGGTCTTTATGCATTATACCGAGAGATAATGCAGGTTGTGAGATTTTCAGCATTAGCTAAAGATGGATTTAAGAAATCGATCATTCCTTTAACATTAGGAATTATTCTCCCTATATCAAAATTAATAATTAAGTAACAAAGCACATGGTTGCACTGGAAAGCAAAGGAGAACAACCACACTGGCTACTCTTTGGGTTTAAACAAACTGAATATGCTCCTTTTTTTGTGTGTGAGGAAGATCAGCCCTGAGCTAACATCCGATGCCAATCTTCCTCTTCTTGCTGAGGAAGACTGGCCCTGAGCTAACATCTGTGCCCATCTTCCTCTACTTTATATGGGACGCCACCACAGCATGGCCTGACAAGCAGTGCGTGGGTGCGACCCTGGGGTTCTGAACCCCTGCTGCCAGCAGAGAAGCACGCGCACTTAACCGCTACGCCACGGGGCTGGCCCCTGAATATGCTCTTTGTATTTTTAATAAGTATACACTAATAAGGAGCCTGCTCTGGCTATGAATGACTGAATGCTAGCTGAATCGAAACACAGATTTCATGGCCCTTTGAATTATGTTAAAATTAAGTAAAAAAGGTATTCTTGAATTTTGGAATTCAAAAATATATAAATTAATGAATTAACTTTAATTATCTGGCTACAAATATCATTTTAACAATTTTTATTGTGTCAGCCAAACTTTTTTCTGGAAGATCTAAAAGGTCCAAAGGATCTATTATTCTTAGCATATTTTTTTAAAAGAAGTTTGAAATATTTATATTTAAAATATCTTGTAAGGTTTTACTTTGACATTGAGAATATATTTAAAAATAAAATATAAAACCATGAAGGACATCAATGTAATTCAGAGTAATTAAATGCAAAGACTAGGAGTGAGGCATATTAGATCCTCCACCTTGATCTGCTTTAAAAAACAAAAATCTAAGTACTTATCTAATTTTAAATAAAATGATTTTATTATCTTCAGTGAATATTAAATGCTTTTTCTTAAACATTTGTCTATGTGTTTTTCTATCATCAACAGGAATGTGACTGATGAAGAAATTTTTATTGGAGATCTTTGGAAACAGTTGTGAAACTAATTGTTTATGACATTTTCCTTTTTTTTCCCCTTTTCCCATTTGACCCTGGCCTACTGATCACCTATAAGCTTTACTGACAGCCTAGAATTCAGAAATTGAGATACATTTTTTAGCTTTTTGGCCATGTGCCAATGGCACATACATGCCTATTCTCTTTTTTGCTCTTATTTACTACCTTTGAATGTGCTCAACTGGCTTCATTAAAATAGCAGATATGTAGTCAAAAGCTAGCGCTTGCACACCATGCATGTCTCATTCTCTTCTCATAAGTAGTCTGGTAGTCACAGTTCCTCCCTGTTAAGTGGATTCTCAACTCTTGTCCCTTCTTGTCTTCCGAGAATTAGCATTTCTACCACGCCAAAGCCTTTTGGTTTCCAAGGTCCATGTCAGCATGTTACAACAGAAACATGTTTATAGAAGATTAACATCCTTCTGTTGTAACATGCTGGCATGGACCTTTGAAAACTTATATACAGCTTTGGTGTCAGAAGGCCTTGGATAAAAGCCCACCCTTTCTATATATCAGCTGTGTGATCTTTGACAAGTAACTTAAACTAACTAAGCCTAGCTATATATGAGAATTATAGCCAACTTCAGTGTTCGAAAGAGTGAGACTGGGGCATAATGTAAGCAGAGTTAGCAGAATACCAGGCACTTATTGGTGTGTAACAGAGATGTCTTCATTGTTATCCGCTGGCCTACCAAGAATGTTAATTCAAAATTCCAGGAACACAGCAAATGAAGACGTTGCATTTAGGCAACAAGCAAAGTAAAAGGTACCAAATATATGGCAAGGCATGTGCACTAAAGATTAAATGGGAGAGGGAAAAGGCAGTCAAGTGAGAAATGAAGGTCTGCATACGGGACATATCATGTGACCCTCACAGCAATCTTGTGGGGTAGGTATTTTCCTATTCAACGGTTGTCTTAGACACGTGAATCAGCCTGTCTATGGTCAATATAATAAAGTGTAATAACTAGGGGTGAGACACACTCCACTTCCATCTGCCTTCAAAGCCTTTGCACTTTCTATCACACCATGAGCTTAGTGCTTCCATGGAAGGAAACTGAGATACAAGCCGAGAGCTCAAGTGACAACTGCTTGCTCAAAGAAAGACACATCAGTAAGTTTTATGACATATGAATTAATAAAATCAGTTTAGATTTGTAGAGAACTTTAGTTTCTGAAACTTTTTACATAGTCTCCCCAAAATAAAAGTAATTGCACAGAAAGACAGGAGGACCAAGTAAGACTTCTTACTGAGAAGTCAAACAGAGTAAGACAGAGAATGGAGAGGTGAATATCAGAAAGAACTGTGCTGGGTGGACAGGTGGAGGTTACACATATTGGAGGGCAAAATTGAGGGGGAGCAAATGTCCAATTGAGTGCAAAAGGACATAAGAAATGAATGGGCATAAGGGTGAATGTGGGTATGAAGAGAGTAAGGATTATGTAATAATTAGATGCTCTTTTAATTTAAATCAATGTCTAAGTAGGCAAAACATTTCAAAATTCTCAATTCTCTTTTTTCATATAATTATAATGAATCTTGTCATATATATAAACAATTAATTATTTCTTATATTCTATTGTAAATGTATTTTCACACTACCAATAAACTTGCTTTTTGACACTCAAGTATAGTGGTGTTTGGTAAAAGTGAAACATGAGAGTATCCACGGGTGTGTTGGCCCATAGGTACAATACCCATTAAGGATATTAATATTTTATGGATTTTGTATTATTTCCCATTCTTGCCTAAAGCTGAAAAAAATGTGAAGTGTTTTAGAAGGTTAGACAACTTTAACATTTCAATGACTTGGGAGAATATTAATTTCTAACTACTTGAGCCCATATAAAAAATCAATTTTAACCTTTACATAGAACAAGTATTAACTGCTCTTCAGGGACTATGGAGATAATCCCCGTATTAAAAAGAATATTTTCTGCCTAAGTAAGCACAAGATTATATATTTTAAGAGGTTTTACCATATGTCTTTTCTGTCATATGGACTATACATCTGAGTGGAGACAGAGGAAAAGATTTAGGTTTAGTTGAAGTCTAGGCATGAGGCACTTATATTGTGCCGGCTGTTCATGAATTTATATATCCGTTTAACAATATGTGTTAACCATTTATTATATGCATTAGGTATGATGATATAATGTCGTACACAGAAGTAGACATAGTTCATTTCCTTATGGAGCTTATAATTAAACAGTGCAGACAGATATTAATCAAATAACAAGCCAACTAAATGTAAAAGTAGAACTGTGATAATTATTCTAAAAGAGGGAAACATGATCTTTTAAGGATATATATTAGGGGAAAAAGATCCAGATGAGGAAGACATAACTGAGGGTAACTGAGGGCTGAGGGCTGGATGGAGGTAGAGAGGTGATATGGAAGAATATTCTTGGCACAGCCAACCAGTGAGCAAAAGTTTGAAGCCAATGTGGCTGGAGAGCAAAGAAAGAGATGGGAGATAAGGCTGGAGAGGTAGGCCCCCTGCAGGCCAAGAACCAATGTGTTGTAAGTACTGCATATGATCAGATTTGTTTTTCAAAAAATAATCATTCTGATTGGACGAAGGATAGGAACAGGGGAAGAGCAGATGTGAGAAAAGAAGTCAGAATGGTGTTGCAGCAGTAAAAGCATAATGTTGACCTAAATTTCTGGTTTTAGAATTCAGTTTCATAACGTTCAATTCAACATTTTCTGAGTATCCCAGTATGTAGGAAATAGTGCTTGGTATTGGCAAAATCATAACGAGAGAGGATCTCTACATCCAAGCGGCTCAAACTTTGTAGGCTATGTATACACAGATAAATATAGTACAACTTGTAATGCAAGTCACTGTAAGAAGGTACAGATATGCATAGGTGCAAAGAAGCATGCAGACAGGAACAACACCATTCTCCCAAAACAGAGAGAAATGAAGTGAAGATGGAGAAACATATAGAAGTGTAAAACACACCCCATACTATAAATTAGTGGGCGCCTTTATTCTCAACTTCACTGTGGTCTGTGACAGACACATATCCAGATATATAATCTAGAACATGGTTTTTACTGAATCATCTTGAACTTATTTTAGTCTTACTTTCCTAACCAACTTCTTAGAGGTTAACCATAGCATTATTGGCCCCTACATTAAGAACCCTTCTCTCCAATAAACTTCTATCATCAAGTGTCTTATCTTTTTAAAGATGGCAGACACTTTAAAAGTCATCCAGATCTGCTCTAAAAGGACTTAGAGGGTAGCTCTCAGCTGTTCTTGAATTCAACACCTCATTGTCATCCCAAATCCCCTGCACTGTATTTTTTAGGCTTG